CAAGCATCTTGTCCTGGAGGAAACCATTTCCTAGGCACAGTCAGCCTAGGAAAATGCATGAGAAGAGCGATAAACAGTTCACGGCACTAACAGCATTGAACACAGCACTTCTTTCACATCGTGAATACAATAAGACAATTGAAAATGACCAATTTCTGCAGTGATCGACCTTCTCTGTGGAGGAGCTAAGCCTTTCGTACGTCATCACTGCGCTGGTCGCTATGGCAACGTGAGCATACAATTGGCGATTTGGCAAGTTTGGCTTATCGTATGGAAGCGAGAGATATGCCATTCGAACCGATATCAAATTATTGTCTTTCTTCTGGACCCTACTCGAAAAATCGATGCACTTCCCCTTTAAGCGGCATAACGAGTTTCATAGTGGATAATGTCGGGAAATCTCAGGTTTTTGGCAACAATCGGCTAAAGCCATGAGGTGCAACGCCATGTATTGTACCGGCACACCAGCTGTGGAACACATTGCCCAGCGATATACGTGCCATCTCCACGCTCCGCCAGTTCCGCGCCAGCATGATCCCGCACACACTTACTGGCCTTAGTACCTAGAGTACCAGACGTCCTGTTTGATGATCAGCTGGCTTAGTTTTTCTCCACCTCTATCCTAATTACATCAGTCCCCAATTTCATTTATTACTGCTTTCTATCTGCATTCGCCACCTTTTCATTGGGCAGATCTGCCCGTTTGGTTTGCGAATTAAAATAAACACAACAACAACAACAACAACATGACTTTGTGATTTTGTAGACACGTAACACCAAGAGTAGATAAACGGTGTTTATCTACTCTTGGTAACACCTTTAGAACTGTCGTAATGGCAAACCTGACTGCCTGTCGACTACATACATGTAATGCCATTGCTACATAAAGTCTTTATGTAGCAATGCAGTCAGGTAAATGTACATGTGTAGGTGATGCAACTTACTAGACTGAGACTGTTACACAAAATCCGAAACGATGATTTACGAAGAGTTCCTTTTTAGAAATCATGGAGAGCCATGGAGGAGACCAGACGTACGCGAAGTGAATATCAAACACACGAAGAGGAGTTTTCCCAGGCTCTGGCCATAGGCTCTGGCCATGGCATCTTTAGCGATACTGAAGTAAACACTGATCCATTGATAAATTTGGACCTGGATGAAGGAGCGGCTATAAACAGAAAGAGCTTGTTCCAAATACCGGTAACTGCCTTTGACGAGTCCAGCTCAGCAGGCTCGAAAAGAACTAGAATTTCTCATGGACGCAGTACCAAGTCGATCTGAGTGCTCAGCAGCGAGTGTCTTACTTTCCTGGTGAAGCACGTACAGTTCGTCGTGGACGATTATAATGCAAGGCCTACAGTCAAGTGCTATCAGAAAAGAAGAGTAATTTGTCTCCACGCAACCTCAGGAGAAGAAGACAGCGCCTATGATAAGTTTCCAGCATCCGAATGATCACCAGCAATAATTTTTCACCTCTCACTACATGGATAAGCAAGGGAAAAAAACCTGCAGCAAATCCAGCAAACCTGTTTGTTGGAGGCGAGACCATCCTGAGCCACGAAGGGACGACGCAAGGTGACCCCATTGCCATGGCAATGTACGCCATAGGTATAGTCCCGCTCATCAAGGCCGTCTCAACAGCAGGAGCTGAGTCCAGGCCTGGTTTGCGGACGATGCTGGGTCCGGAGGCAAGCTTGCACCTTTGCGGTCTTGGCGGAATAATTTCCTTCGCCTTGGCCCAAGGTTTGGCTACTACCCCAACGCATCGAAATCCGTACTCGTTGTGAAGCCCCAGCACTATGCTATAGCTTGTGAGGTGTTTGTAGGTACCGGGGTCAAGATCAAGTCACATGGAGTGAGGTATCTATTATTATATTATTATTTGAAACTCGGATGTTGAGCCATAAATAAATGTGGAAAGGAAGAGGACATATGGATACGAGTTAAGAGTAACTCTCCATCACTGTAACTGGATACTATAATCAGTCAGAAAGTGCAATAACTAGGCACAAAACTGACAAGAGTACTGAGACATTCGATGTCCTGACACCTAGCTTCAACACATCTCCGTAGCGCTAATTGACAGCCTTCCAACTTGGAAGGTTCAAGGTTATGGAAATACCAAAGAGGGGAAGGCAAGCGCAACGAAAACAAGTTGGAAGGCTGTCGGTTAGCGCTACGGAGATGTGTTGAAGCTAGGTGTCGGGACATCGAATGTCTCAGTACTCTTGTCAGTTTTGTGCCTAGTTATTGCACTTTCTGACTGTATATAGTATCCAGTTACAGTGATGGAGAGTTACTCTTAACTCGTATCCATATGTCCTCTTCCTTTCCACATTATATTATTAATATATTCTTCTTTTACTAGGGAATTCCCAACAGGCGTCAGCGCCTTTTTACAGGGAACCCTAGGTATAATTTGATGGATGAGCGAAATTCAGCTGGTGAACTAGACATGCGGCAAGCCGGTGGAAGTGTATTCCACCTGACAGCGCCCAAATAAGAAATTGCACTAAAGCCATGTCGGGTGTTAGCGGGGGGGGGGGGGGGGGCAGAACAAGAGCAGCAGAGACTTGGCCACGGGTGGTGGCTGCAGCGCGAGCACCATGGGCGCGCAAGGTAAAGCGGTCTCGCAGAAGAGGACTAGCAAGTCCATTCAGGCAGCGGTAAACAAATACATAGGTTTTGAATTAGTTGAGGCGTTTCTCAAGGGCGTACAAGTTAGTATGACTGTATAGAAGAGTGGTGGGAGTCATTCTATCCAACGAAAATATTCTCTTTAATGCTACGCGGCTGGCAGTAAGAAGCTTGTCATATAGGGTTTGTGATAAGCAATGAATATATGCAGTGCTGCCAAACTCAAATGTGGACTGAATGATCGATAAATTAATAGAAAAGTCGTTTGCCAAAAATGCTGATATTCTGCTTTGCATGGACAAATGCTCCGACCTTCCTATTGACATTTGCACATACTGCATCCACTTGGAGCTGCTATTGGTTCACTTGAATTCGTCACCACTTACGTCACAGAGAAGGCCGACTCCTGGGTGGGTCAAGTTAAACGACTGAGCGTCATCGCCATTACCCAGCCGCAGTCGTCATACCCAGCTCTTGTTCGCGGTCTGGACATTTCTATGTCGAACCGTGCCAGATATCGCACAGCATCTGGTGCCATTGGACGAAGCCATCACCAACGAGTTCATCCCGGCTCTTCTACAGCGACCGATTAATGAAGTGGAGCGCGAAACTTGTGATGTCCTTGCCATGCCGTCATGGTGGTCTCGGCCTCACTGCCCCGTCCTCCATTGCCTCACAGCATGGGTCCTCCGTCAGCGCGTCCTATGCTATCATCCACCGCGTCCTGGGGAAGAACACAGGCTTGGCAATGCTGTCGCGTAGATCTATCAAGCCAAGAGTCGCGTCGGATCCAGTGCCGGCGATGCCACCAGGGCCTATGCCCTCCCTTTCCGAGGCTCTGTGTCTGTCAGGCCGGATCTTCAGTGGTCCATTGAGCTATCTTCTGAGAAAGGGTCACTGGCTGACCTGCCTACCTCTCCGTTGACGTGGTTTCACCGGCTCTCACCAAGGGTGAGTTTCGCGATGCCATCTGCCTACGCTATGGTTGGCTCCCACAACGGGCTGCCAACTTTGTGACGTCCTGCCAGTGCGGAAGCACATTCACTGTGACTGTGACTCGGCATGCTTTGTCTTGCCCCCTCAGTGGAGGATTTCCCACCATCAGGCACAACAAGGTCCGCGACATTACCGCTAGGCTGCTGAAGCAAGTAGCCCCGGAACAAGAGTCACTATTGAACCTCATCTGAAACCCCTGTTAGGTGAGCACCTCTGCCGTATCCGGCACAGCCATCGCGGATGACCAGGCGGAGTCGCGGCTTGACGTGCCGGCCGATTAACGCACCTTTATTGATGTACGGGTGCTTAGCGCTTATGCGTCTTCAAATCGCTCCAAACCACTTGCTGTCTGCTATCATTGCTATGTCAAGCATGAGAAGGCCGGAGCCTGCGGAAGACTGAGCCGCGTACGAGCAGCGCATCCCAACAGCAGCGGTCGAGCATGCTTCTTTGTCGCTGCGACGGTGTTCTCCACAAGCGCCGGGAGGAATCATCGCAAATGCGCCTCTGCCCTGTATAAGCCCATTGCTTGCCTACTCTCTGCCAAGTCCACTGAGCGTTACAGCGTCGTCATCGCGCATATCCGTTGACGCCGTCTTACGCGGCTTTGCTTTTTAGTAAGATCAGTCCTGTACTTATGTCGGTTTGCGTGGAGCAAGGAGCGTTTTCTCTCCTGCAGAGCTAGTGGTTGCGGAAGCCGCGGTGTTCTTGCCATTTAATTGCTCCCTTGCTACCCTTTGTGAATTTTCTTCTTGCCATTTTATTTCCGTCCGCACAGTCCCCCGGCCCCTTTAGGGCGCGTTCAGACTACCGTGAACCCCGTCAAACCGTGAATGCCGATAAACCGTGAAGGACATTCACACTACCGACAAACTAACGTTACCGTGAAGTTTTCAGCTCTCACCGCGGCACTGACAAGGGATTTTCCCTTTTTTTCGCAGCGCGCATGCAGCCTGAGCACTTTTTTACTGCCGGTAAAAGTTTACTGCCGCAGCAGCCGCGGCAATAAAACTTTCCCACCGGTAACGTGCCAGTAACGTCACGTGATCAAATCACCTCGGCGACTTTCCCAATCGGTCACCATGGTCACTTTTTATCGGTAGTCTGAACGCGCCCTTACTTCCTTCCAGGGAGTCGTCAAATACCGGTATTTGACGACTCCCTGCTTCCTTCCATATTTGCCTTTATGCCGCGGCGCCGGGGCCACTGTTGCAAAAAAAACAAAAAACAAAAAAAATCGTCAGTAATAACGTCATGGCAGCAAAGCGATGTCGTCACCGCGCTCGTAGTGATGGATCTTTTGCCAGTTTTGAGTTGAAAAAAATGTGTTTTGTAACGTTTGCATCGATATCCAGTTGTTATGACCGATTGTTTGCAAGCTTCCACGAGCCCATGCAGGAGGAAGAGTCCAAGTTTGGTTTGGCTTTGTACTTTGTAGGTCTGAGACGAAATGTTCTGTTATCTGTCTCGGTGCTAGGAGTTGACTATGACGGAGGTATTTGTCTGCCCGGGTGTAGATTTCACTCCCGTCTTCGTGTCGGTATCGTTTGCGATATCTGGATGGGCATGACGAATTTCGCAACACATTTTCAATTTCATTGCTCCTCAATTTTCTAGTCATAAAAAAAGCAAAAACAAGTTACAATGAGCAAGGCACGTCGTAAGGGGGCTAATGCCGCTCCCACGGGCTTTTCAATGCGCTTCACGACGCACCACAGCTCTGGCGACGAGAGCAGTGACGAGGACACAATCACGACGGAACACGATGGAAGCCAGAAGTCCTCAATGGTGCGAACAGCTCCCGCACGACCCAGCACACAGCCCACGACACGACTGGTGGCCGCGCCAGCGACCTCCAGCGCTGGTCCCTCGCCTGGCGCTTCTCCGTCCACGCGGCACAAGGAGTCGGTCGGTGGAGGTGATGCTATGGAGGACTGGGAATTTGTACTACCGGGTGAAGGTGAGTTGGGTGATCATTTCGGAACACTGCCCGGTACTGAACAAGACAGCTCTCAGGCACGCGGTGGCCGTCTGTCTGAGGCCACCAAGCGATCATCTTTCTACTCACATCCCAAGTCAGAGTCGGCCAACACGCATCACGATTTGTCCTCCATACACCGAGCGCAAACGCACTCCGTGTCGGACTACGAGTCGCGCTGGAAGCGGAGACGTTCGTCAGCAGTGACCGTGCAGCCGCCTAAGACTCCGGACGATGAGTCGGCGCCATCGATCGCCAGCCGCGTGTCGCTGTATCGGCTGAGTTTGGTCGCCACGGCGATGATGTTCTTCATTGAATACAACAGTAGTTCGTTCCTGATGGGCTGTGCTGTCGGCGCATACCTGATGTTCCACCTCGGTCTGCTACTCGTCTACCATATCACGAAAGAGGTGAGTGGGCTGTTTGTATGTTTGTACGCGTCTCGGCTGGATGGTCCTTTTTCTTTGGATGTTCCGTGCTCACTGCTTACAACCAGGGCCAAAAGTACATGAAACCCAGAGTATGCAACTCGGATGAGTTAGGGTCATGGCTAAATTCTGGGATTACATCATTTTAGTGATGTAGTGCATACAAGCAGGATTCAAATGGATCTCGTTCTGCACAACTGCAGCTCAGTTGTACGCACTACGCCACTTCCCGCCGCTTGTCTGCACCAACTGTGATGCAATCCCGGAATTTCGCCGTGACAGACACCCATGCAGAAAATGCCGCAAGCTGCACGCTCTGGGTTTCATGTGCTCCTGCCAAGGCTGGTTATATCTGATTCTGTTCATAACGAACTGTGTCGTGTCCACGGTCAAGGCTCGCATGCCACATCAGACCGCATGCGTCATGTCCATTGTCCACGCAAAGCGTGTTCACCAGTGCATGTGACCATGATGATTATGGTTGCCGACTGGCACGGGGAGGGGGGGGTCGAGTTTCTTTGGCTTTGGCTGGGCACGAGAAATCAGCGTGTGCAGCTGGAATGCGCGGTTGTCATGGTGAAGTTTTTGATTACAACACTGTAATGCTGCAGTGCATACTATTTAAACACAAGCAGGTCATCAGCTGCTCAACAATAGCAACAGCTCAATTGTATCTTGTATCACAGTATGCTCCGCCGCACTTTACCCCCCCCCCCCTCCCCGAAAAAAGGGTGCATAACCCGCACGAGAGTTCAGCTCCAGTCTGTGGGGTGTGCGCCGGGCACAATTTCACATCACTTGACAAACCCGTTGAGTACGCCCTGCCTGCAGTGTGCAGCCCTGTGCATGATAGCTACAGGACTGTGCACAACCATGCTTTGGATAGAAGTTCATATAACTCTCTGCTGGTTACTTTGCACTGTTGGCCAGCGTAAGCTATTGAACACTGTCACGTGATGTGAAGCTCTGCCGTTGCAGCACTGTATAGAGGTTGTGCAGGCAGTTGCACACTCTTGGGGGTTATGCACTCTTGGTGTAAGCTATTGAACCATGTGATGTGATGTGAAGCTCTGCCGTTGCTGCACTGGGTATGTAACGGGCAGGCAGTTGCACACTCTTGGGGGTTATGCACTCTTGGTGTAAGCTATAGAACCATGTGATGTGATGTGAAGCTCTGCCGTTGCTGCACTGGGTATGTAACGGGCAGGCAGTTGCACACTCTTGGGGGTTATGCACTCTTGGTGTAAGCTATAGAACCATGTGATGTGATGTGAAGCTCTGCCGTTGCTGCACTGGGTATGTAACGGGCAGGCAGGTGCACACGCTAGTCTTGGGCGTTAGGTACTCTTGATCCTGTTTATCTGCATTACGTTTGATATACAGGATTGTTTTTTGCTATGACGGACGTCCGTATGGAAGCTATGCACTGATGTGCACTTGACTGTGCGTGGAGGGGGGGGG